GTTTTGTAGCTTTTGAGATTCTAAGAATTCAATTTAGGGCTTCATGAGAATTACTTCATTACTGAGCCATAGCTTCAGCATTTAAAATAATAATAATAAATTTTGACAGCAAGACTTATGCAACAAAATGTCTGCAGGAAGTGAACACAGATTGGAAAGTTTTGCTTTAGATCATGAGCTCTTGATTATGATGGATGAAACCACTGGGGAAGTGTCAGTGACTGTCCTGTTGAGACCTTCTGGTCCACTTAGCTTGCTGCCTGTCCAGAACTTTTGTCCAAAGCCTCAAAGAACTCAGGGTGATAGTTCACTCCCAAATCTAATTCATGTATAAATTTGAAGTCTTATTTACTAAGAATATGAAACTAGAGTCCTCTTGAGTTGTAATGGAGGTGAGTTAGCTGATGTTCACTCTCTTAGGATCCTAGGGGGCACATGTGAGATTGTTTATGTTACCTGCCAGTCAGATGTTTGTGCATGTATCTTGAATCCTATGCTTAACCTTGTTTTGTCACAGGTTGCAAAACTTCCTCAAGTTGTGCAGCAACAAACACCTGTGGCCAGCATCCAGCAGGTCGCATCAGCTTCTCAGCAGGTAGGCTATGCAGTTGGGGGCCATGGGGAGCACAATTTGTTGGAAGTTGCGGTTTCATCTTTTGGAAGAAGAATGTTAGTGATTAGAGAATTACTTTTGGTTTTCATAGTGTGCACAAAAACTGGAGCTTTCAGGGAAAATGATTCAGGATAATTTCCAGAGCAGGACCACCAAACTGAAGGTCACGGTTTGTGCCCCAACCTAAACCTGCTCTCAGCAGGCACTTTTCTTGGCATGTTCCACAAGACATTTTATAGCTTCTGAGGCCTGTAGGCCTCTGTCAACAGCATGGGATCCAAGTGAAGGGAAGGTGGCTGGTGACAACACCCCTTTCTGACCCAGAGCCCTTTGGCTTCTTTCTGGTTTTACTTATGATGCAGTAGTATTTGTTTATAATGGTAACAAGGATTTTCACTTTAAGCTGCCGGTGGACTTGAAGAAACCAAACAGTGTTACATTGGCCAGATCCTTTGCTATTTTCTTGAGACCATTGGATGTATGTAATAGTTAGAAGGGCAGGCTGGCCAGGGCTGTTCTCTGGTGACCTGTGCTCTCTCATCTTGGCTCAGGCTTCTCCACAGACAGTGACACTCACGCAGGCAACAGCAGCAGGCCAACAAGTGCAGATGATCCCAACGGTGACTGCAACAGCCCAGGTGGTACAGCAGAAGCTCATTCAGCAGCAGGTGGTAACTACTGCCTCAGCTTCAATGCAGACCCCTGGTGGCCCAAGCCCAGCACAGCTTCCAGCCAGCTCCGAAAGCCCAAGCCAGCAGCCAAAGTTGCAGATGAGAGTCCCTGCTGTGAGGTTGAAGACACCCACCAAGCCTCCATGCCAGTAAGAAGGACACTGGTTGGTACTGTGACAAGGCTGTCTTGGCAGAATGCTCTAGTGTTTCTGGACTCTGGGATGGCCACACAGCTGTTTGACTTTTTCCTGTATTTATGTGACAGTGGCAGTTGATGTTGGGGAGTGCACGCAGTGGTCTTTTAGAGTTACTCTGTTAGTGTGCACTACTTAGCATTTGGTAGGGGCTGCATAGCCTATAGCATATTATAGCTCAGACATGGTCTAAGTACCATTGTTCATCAGATGCATCATAGTCCTTCAGCAGAAGAGGTGACAGTAGACCACTTAAAGTATGTATACCCTTCTCAGTATGCCAGTGAGGTCATGGCTTGGGTTATGGGCACCCATCCTGTCCCAGTGAACATGGGATTTCATTTGAATGAGACTCTGAAACATGACAAGGCAGTGCGGGTCTCAGGTGCTGTACACATGTTCATGGCAGGTGAAGCAGCCTCGTAGAGTTGGAATCAAGATCACTGTTCCCTTACTGTTGTCCTGGTCTAGGCGTAGTCTGGAGAGCCTAGTGTTCATCTAGGAAGGCATCTGTTGGTCCACTCCACCCTCGCAGCTCTCTGTGGATTTCAGACATATTCTGAATGAGCAACAACTGGCAGCCATTGCAGTTGAAAGGAAAATGGTTAGAATTGAGTTCAGTCCTATGTTCACTCTTCTTTTTACTACTGCAAGGTGACTTGTGTGGCATTCATGGACAGGCTGACTGTGCCTTCTTATGTGCGGGAGTGGAAGGTCCATGTTCCACATCTGTTTGTAGCTTTCTCATGGCCTGGGAAGTTTGTCTGTGAGGTCTATGCTGTCAGCACTTGAAGACAGATACTGTTGTGTTGTTTGCCTATTCCTCACTGTCATGTTTGTGTCCTGTGTGGGCAGGAATGTGACAATACATCCTGCAGCCCACCCAGAACTCAATCTTTGAGCTCTTAATGTGAAACTTGGGGGTGGGGGGAGTAGCAATTAGGTATTGAAAAACCAGAAGAGGTCCTGTATGTGGTCTCATAAGCAAAAACCCATCATTTTGTCTTGGTGTGCTATGTTGGGGGAAGGCCTTTGGAGTCTCCTGGGTACCTAGTATCGGGCTCTCAGGAGCAGTTCCTGTTCCCTGTAGTCCTCCGTGAGGTCCTTTGTCAACATCACACTCAACTTTGTCCATTCTTCCCCCTGTCGTGGCAGCATTCTTCGGTGTGCCCAAGCCAAGTGGTTGGTGGGGAACAAAAAGGCAGTTTGGAAGTTACTTTTGTTTACCTTTCAACCAGATAGCTAGCTGTTTTGTTTTGTTTTGTTTTAAATGTAAGAAACAGGACTGAAATTGTAAATACTTTGTAAACACAAGCATTTGTACTTGAATAGGATTTTAAAAAGGACCCAATGTCCTACCAAGCAAAGGCCAATAAAGTGACCTTTCTACAACTTTGTTCTTTCATAGACCAGTGTTTGGGTTAAGGATTTTTACAATGTATTCACTTTGTAGAAGGATATGTTTTTTTAACTTACAAGGTAAGAATCAAAAGGAGCAGTGTGGCACCAGAGGCGTGGCCAACGTCTTTAGTTACTTGGTCTTGAAGCCACCCTGTAAAGCCACACCTGGGTTCTGCTTCAGGACTTCACAGTGCCAGCAGGACTCCATGTTGAGGCTCTTTTTCAGGCCAGGGAGTAAAAATGTCCTTATGAGCTTCTGTGTTCCCAGGAGTTGCTGCTTGCCTCCTTCCAGCCTAAGTGATCAGGTGACCCTGCTGTCACCCCATTGTATAGTCATCTAAAGTCCTCTCCTAGGCACCAGAAAAATGAAGTTTCATTTCTGTTTAGAGCTGTCGAGCAAAATCAGCCCTCACACCCAGCTTCATGCAGGCACATCTGCAGGTGGCCTTCAGCCTGGCCGGCCCCATGGTCTCCACCTCTTTCTGATGTGTAATGACTCAGGCCTGACAGGTAGATGTTGACTCACCCCATCCACTGTGCTACCCGCTACCCTGGCACTGCAAAGTGTCTGACCCAAGACCCATTTGGCCTGTCTACTTGCCTGTCAAGTCATCCTACTTACCACACTACTCAGCATGGTGCGGAGTCTGACCCAGACACTCCCAGACTAACTCCACCCACCCGCCCATCAGTCACCAACCTACCACATGGAATCTGACCCAAACTCTAGGTAGGAACTCCCACAGCCAGTCTACCACGCCACACACCAAAGATACCATGGGGATTATACAGTGTTCAAAACCAAACACTCTTCACCTGGTTCGCAAACCTGACAAGTTGAGGTAAGTAACAACAGAGATCCAAACACCCACTCAAAAAGGCAAGACCAGATAACCACATCTGCCTAGGTCCCATTGCAAAACAAAACAAACTTTCTCCAAAGTCAACCACATATATCGCAAGTCTCAACAAATTTAGAAAACTGAAAATTCCCTGCATCCCATTTGGCTACAAAGAAGCAACAAAAAGCACAAGCTAAACACCACACTACTGGATGAAAACTGGGTCAAGGGAGAAATTAAGAGGGCAATTAAATGAAAACAAAAACCTGCCAGGTAATGGTGTCATGCGTTCTACCACTCCGGAGCCAGAGGCTGCAGATCTCTAAGTTCAAGGCCTGCCTGGGTGATGGAGTGACAGCCAGGAACACAGAAACCCTGTCTTAAACCTTAAAAAGAGAGAGAAGATAACCTCATTGGATTCAGAAAGGGCCTTTAACAAAATCCAACATCTCTTTGTGATAGAAGTCCTGGGAGAAGGACATGTTTCGACATAACAACGGCAAAATAACCCCACAGCCAATATGCTTAGTGGAGAAAAACTCCAAAGCATTTCCAATAAAATCAGAAACATGACAATAATGTCTACTCTCCTGTCTCATGTTCAGTATAGTACTTGAAGCCATAACTGAAGGAGATAAAAGGAAACAAATGAAGTCAAAGATCCCATCTTTAATTACATCATTTTATGCATATATACATAATATGTGTAAATGTCCTGGTGTGTGTGTATGTATAAATATATAGACACATATGTCTCCCTACAACTGATAAACACATTTCACAAAGTTGCAGGATACAAAGTTAGCACACAATATACTCATTTGTATATTGGATGGTTATAAAGTCAGGGAAACAATCCCATCCAGTCTTTAAAAAAAAATAAAAGCTCAGAAACAAAGATAACAAAAGATGGTCACATGCTCATGATTAATAGGAGTAATACCGTGAATATGGTCATCCTACCAAAAGCACTTTACAAAAAAACTCAATGCAATCACCATCAAAATTGTAAAATTCCAGATAGTTCTGTATAAAAATTGAAAAGCAATCTCAAACTTCATACAGAAACATACAACAGAGAACAACAAAACCCAGGAGAGCCAAACAAGCCTAAACAATTAAAACTGCTAGAGGTATCACTATCCACAATTTTAAAGTTATTCTATGGAGTTAACAATAAACAGCATAACACATTAACCAATGCAGTAGAATTGAGGACCCAGATAAGTCTACACATCTACCATCTGAGTTTTGATAGAGTCCAAAAGCACACACCAGAGAAAAGATAGCATCTTTAATAAACTGATAAATGGGACCTCATGAAACTAAAGTTTCTGTACAACAAAGGGACACCATTCAAGTTAAGACAGTGTACAGAGTGGGAAAAGATCTTTACCAGCTACCATTTAGCAGAGGATTCGTCTCTAGAATACACAAAAAACTCAAAAAACCCCCCACAAAAACCAAACCTTAAGACAGCATGGGCTATGGTGATGACTCAGCTCAGCAGTTAAGAACACACACTGCCATTGCGGTAGACGGGGCACCTGTATTCACACACCCACACAAAGCACAGAAGTCTTTAAAATAGAGCAGGGAACAAAACAAAGTTCTCAAAAGGTGAAATCCAGTGGGCTGGAGATCTCTCAACTGCTGCTCTGCCAGAGGACCCAGTTCAATTCTCAACACCTACACGGTGGGTCAAGAGCATCCATAACTCCAGTTCCAGAGGATCAGACGACCTCCTCTGGCCTCCACAGGCACTACATGTGGTGCATAAACACAGACAAGACACTCATGCACATAAATAAGGGCTGCATATGGTGGCACAGGCCTTTAATCCCAGCACTTGGTAGGTGGCTCTCTGGTCAGCCTCGTCTATAAAGAGAATTCCAGGACAGCTAGGACTGTGTAGAGAGAGAATCTGTCTCTTAAAAAAAAAAAAAAAAAAAAAAGGCAACCCCTCCACACACACACAATAAATTTTAAATGAAATGGTTGAGAAGCTTTATGTTGACCAGCCTTAGCCATCAGGGAAATGGAAAACTACTTTGAGACTTCAAACATTTTACCCCACTCAGAATGGCCAAGATTAAAAAAAAAAACAACAACACAGTAAACCCTGAGTGTAGACAAAGGGTGACAGTTCTTCATTGATGTGAGTACAGATTGATACAGCCACTATCAAGGAGTGGTAGATCCTCAAGAAGCTGAGATTAAACCACCCACAGGTTCCACTTGTACCACTCTTGGGCTTATAGCCAATACTATTATCTACTAGTACAGGGTACATGCTCTTTCAGTTGCTCTGTTCACAATAACCAGAAAATGGTAACAGCCTAGAAGCCCATCAACTGATAAAAGGATAATGAAAATGAGCTACATTTACACAATGTAATTTTCAGCTGTTTGAAATTTAAAAAGTAAATAGAAGTAGCAAGTGAATACATGCAACTGGAATCAACCATCCTGAGATAACCCAGAAAGACAAGTCACTGCTTTCCCTCTGTGAATATAGCCTTGGATTTTTAGATGTATGTGTTTCATATGGAAAACCTGGAGAAGTTCAGAACTAATAAGGGGCCATGAAGGAGGGAAGGTTCTTTCCAGGAAGGGGACATATAATACAATGACACAGAGGGGGAAAGGGAATAACAGAAGGAAGGATTAGAGGCAGATGGAGAAGGGAATATGGGGAAGGGTGACTGCATGGATTATGACATCAGCGATTAACTCAGTTACAGATAATGCATCAGTGTTCTTTTGAGGAAAGAAAAAAAGAAAAGCACTTCCCTACTTAACCTGGAGCAAGCCCAGGTTTGAATTCTCTACTTCATGATCCCTGTGTCTGCTGCATGAGTCTGATCCTGTGAGAGAAAAGTGATGTTACCTTGGGACTAGGACAATTAACATTCTGGACGGTTATAGGGAGAAGACACACAACCTGGTACAAGGCACCAGTTACAGAAGCCAGGCTGTGGTAGTTGCAGATAAAAAAAGGACTTGGGAAGGAACAGAGAGATGGCTCAGTGGTAAGGAACACTGGCCGCTCCTAACTGGGGATCAATTCTCAGCACCCACATGGCAGCTCACAACTGTCTGCAACTCCAGTTCTAGGGGATCCAACAACCTCACACACATACATACATACAGGCAAAACACTGATGCACATAAAACAAAGCAAACTAAACAACAACAACAAAAAACCTTGGGAAGAGGCAGAGAGAAGGCTCAGTGGTTACAGCTCTTGCAGACAATCTGGGTTCAATTCCCAACACCCACACAGACTCTCAATCTGTAGTTCCAGTTCTAGGGGATCCAACACACACTTTTGACCTCCTTGGGAACTAGGCACACATTGTACATAGACGTACATGCAGGTAAACGTGTGTGAAATTAAAAAGGGGTCTAGGGCAGAATGGTGGGAGGCCTCCCCATACCCATGTTCCTAGAGCCAGCAAAGGCCTGAAGATGGGACCTGTGGCTATGCTGCTCTCGTGGGCTCGCCTAGGTATCCTGAGTTACTAAGTGTTTGAGCTATCAGGGGATTTGGATGGGTTTAAATGATACATTTATTTTTTTTTTCTGAACATAAATGAAAGCAGTCTATCTTTTTTTTAAATACAGACTTTTCAAAACAGGTTTTCTTTTAAGCACAGGTAAGTGCTAAGTTTCCTTGACAATGTTCAGGAAAGGATTCTCCTATCATTCAAATTTACTTTATACTTGGGTAGTGGCTAACTCTAACATATCATCCTGAAGACTAGTAGCCATGGAAACATCTTCCTGGGCTCTAATGACTTGTCTGGGACAGGGTCACCATAGCTTCTCTGTAGATGCTAATGCTATAAGCACTTCAATCCACATTCACTGTAAGGCTGACCATAGTTTTTGGTTACATTCCTAAAGACATTTTTCAGCTTTACCTGAGCTTATTTCCAAAGACCAAATGGACCCCAGGAGTATAAACCAAGGGCCATTACTTTTCAGGACTAAGCCACCATCTAGGGTGCCTGGCCCAGACGACCGTGGTTCTTGGGGAGAACGGTTGTTTCCATTGGAACCCCAAGAACTGCATCTTCTGCTCACACAAAACATTCACTGCAGCAGGATGTTCCCTCCAGGCCCCGGTTTCCATCTAGGCCACCTTCAACTTTTGTTCTTCCTGTGGAGGAAAAGGAGGTTTTGCAGCATTTCATGCTTATTGCCATCTGAAGCCCCCTCATCCTACTGGGAGACAACAGGTGCCATGCTCACAAGGCATCTCCCATGGCATGAAGTTGTGTCCTGCTTGCCTCCCTTTCCTGGAGTGTGTGATGACAGGACAGGAGCAGCAGCTGGACTTGCAGAAGTCCTCTCACCTTGACAGTCTTCTCCAGCTGAGACAAGGCTGCCTCATAACGGGCGACCAGTGGCTGCAGGAGCTCCCTGGGGATCTCATGGCGTGGCAGCTCAGGCACCCCAGCTTCTGACACCATCTGGAGGAACTTCCTTTCCTAGAAGGGGTTTCGTGGGAAGGAGTCCAGAACAGGCCAGCACCTGCAGCAGCTTGGATCTGCCCACATCTGCTGGGAACTGCATGGTCTTACCTGCACTTTCAAGAGAAGTGTGAAGGCCTGTCCAGTTTTTCCTGCTCTGGCTGTTCTCCCGACCCTAAAACCAAGCATAAGTGTTCTCAGACAGTGGCTTCTGGCCCAGAGTCCTAACAAGATAGCAGCTCTCTTGGCCATACTACACATAACCATCATGCAAGGTGATCCTCCCTATGAATACCAAAAACTCATAACGCAGCCCACAAATGACCATTGCTAAATATCTCTTACCTATGAACATAGGTCCTCAGGTACTGGGGGGCATCATAGTTGATCACCAGCTCCACACCCTGCACATCAATACCTCGAGCAGTAGCATCTGTGCTGATAAGGCTGATGAAATACAGGCAGTGGCACTAAGGGCCAGAAACAGTAATTTGTGCCCACCCTGCCAGGGTTACTTCCAAATATCTCTTGGGAACCAGCTGCCCAGGAACTGGAGGAGCCCAATAACACCAAACACTACCCTGTCTGTTTTCCAGGTACTCACAGCTGGATCTTTCCCTGTTCAAACTGCTTTAAGATTTTCTTCCTTTGGCCAGGCCCATAGCGGGAGGAGAATTCAGCCACACTCACACCCCCAAAAGCTTGTGCTAGCAGGAAGAGCCTAGGTAGGGAAGAAATAGGAGCCAGGTGGCACCAGAGTCTAGTGTATATTGCTACACTAGTCCAGTATATTGCTATATTAGTCCAGCTTACCTATGGGAATGTTCTCTTGAGTTAGTGAAGCAAAGAGCCCTTGAGAAGTTCATCCCAAGGACCAGGTGTAAGACAATGAGTGGCTTCAAACTGAGTCTGCAGGGCACATAGTGGTGCTATGGAAAATGGATAGCAGGAGCTGGCCAGAAGCCCTGGGCCTAGGACCCACATGCCTCACCCTGCTCCACATGTCCTACATGCTCACCGTGAGTCCCACAGGGAAGGTGTACTTCCCCCCCAAGTTTCCATCCTCTTCAACTGTGTCCTTGGAGTCTCGGTGTCTCAGCCTTGTGGAGAAAAGCCTTGGCTGGTAGAGGCCAAGCCGCTGCAGCTTCTCAGGGTTCTGAGTGAGTGTAGCTGAGAACAGCAGCTTCTGTAGAGGCATCTGAGGAAAGCAAGTGCTAGAAAACAAAGGGCATATTAACAGGACAGGTTTCCTTATGCCACCCTGACTCCTATTATAGGGCCAGCAAGGGGAGCTAAGAAAGAGCAGGCAGCTCTCATGAAGGCAGGATACCTGGCAGCAGTCACAGCCTGGGGCTGTGTCCTCTGAAGCAGGGCACAGGAGCCTGCAGGGCTTTCATTGTAGAATGCTGCTGCCACCACTCGTGGCAGCCAGGACTGGTGCATGCTGTCTATCATCCGGTCAGCTTCATCAATGATCTGCAGCAGACAGGAGCAAAGGCTAATGGAAAACTCCCTGCAGAGATCACCCCAGCCTGAAGCCCGTTTGTCCAAAAGGTGGCCTACCAGGAAGCGAAGCTGCTGTAGGCTGAATCCTGGGGTCTGGTCAATGTGGTCCACCAGGCGGCCAGGTGTGGCCACCACAATGTCAGCCAGGCAACAGTAACCATCTGCTCTACAAACCACAGAGACTCAGAGGAAGGAAGCACCTCCCAGGAGCAATCTAACTCAAAGCCTCACATACAAAGCACTGATACCACCCCAACCCAAGGACAGCAGTTGGCCTGAGGAAGGAACCTTTTTAAAGAGCCCGCCACCTGGCACACCTACGTCTTCTGGACAAGGCTCTCCTGCTCCTTGGCCAGTGACTTCTGTCCAGTTACCAAGGCAACCCGCAGAGGTGTGGTGTCCGTGTAGATGTTGAATACTTTGCTCACCTGCAAAAGGAGTCTGTCACTGACTTAAAGTAGATGGTGGCCCCTGCTACAGCAAAGACTCTTGTGTTTAATACAGGTGGCGAAGGGATAAGTACAACTAAAGCTGGGAAGACAGACTTCTGGATGCAGAGTCGACCTACCTGTTGGGCCAGCTCCTTAGTGGGAAGCACAACCAGTGCTCGGATGTGGCAGACTACTCGATGCATCAGGGCCTGCAGGGACAGAAACCATGTGTGCCACCAGGATCCTCCCTTTCCAGCACTAGCTGGAAAGTTGTACCCCCATACTCACTTGTACCACAGGGATGACAAAGGCCAGTGTTTTCCCACTGCCCGTTGGGGCAGAAACGCAGAGGTCACTAGGTTGGTAGCCACCTCTGCCTACCAGAAACCCACTGTCTGCACTCTCCAGGAGGGCAGGAATCACAGCAGCTTGGACTGAAATGAAGAAAGGAAAGGAGCAGGTCAAGTATATGCCAGGATGTACTACCCCACCCAGGAACTCTCCTGGTCAAAGATAGGACCATGACTGGGTAAGGCTTAAGATAATCATCAAGGACCTGAGCCCAAGGATTCAGAAGCTCACCGATCTGGTGTGAGCAGGGACCCCTAATCCACAGCCCTTAAAATGGAGCAGCCCTAACAGAACAGGGAAGACTGCCAAAAGAGTCCATCCCTTCATTTGCCCAGGGCTGAAGCACCTGGAAAGTATGAAGAGATGCCATTAGCCCTCAGCTGCTTTTGCAAGTCAGGGTGAACTTCAGGGATGTCCTCAATAGGAGTAAGATCCTCAGTGACACTCTTCTTGACACAGCTTGGCTCAGCCAGCCACGCTGGCAGGAAAGGCTGGACCTGAAAGCAAGAAAACCCACAAGAGGTCGGTAGAACCCTCCAGGCTCGTGGAGCAGCCAGTAATTAGGAACCAGGAACTACAGCAGAGGAGTACCTAACCAGTCTTTCCCCAACCCTTCGCCACCACCACCTCTCTCGCAACTTTCGGACAAGACACCCAGGCCAGCAGACACCCTATCCTGACACACTGAACACCCTGCATAAAGTCCACACACAGGATACTTGGCCCATAAGCCCACCAACCTAGTAATTACCTCCCCGCACCCAGAAATGCTGCTCGCAGTGGGGGCTGCCAGGCACACCACAGGGTTTTTATCCCAATAGCTATTACACGTCTCCTGATTTCAGTTTCAGGAGCGCCCACGCATACCCAGAGGAACTCCATAAGCCTCTCACTTTCTGTAGTTAGGGCCATGTAATGGCAAAAAAACAAATCAAGCCGGGCGTTGTGGCGCACGCCTGTGATCCCAACACTCCGGGAGGCAGAAGCTGGCGGATCACTTTGAGTTTGAGCGTGGTCTACAAAAGAGTCCAGGATAGCCAAGGCTAAACAGGGAAACCCTGTCTGGAAAACCAAAACAAACACCTTCCCGACCGAAAAGTCCCGGATGGACAAATAGAACCTCCTATAGGCTCACTGACCTTCGGTATCTTCCTTTTTGCAAAGTCTCCCAGCACCGGGCCTGGAGCCAGGGGTCTCGGGGCATCCTCTTGGGACCTCCTACCTGGAATCTCTGCGCCGGCACTGAGCTCTAGCGCCGCCTCACCTCTCCCTGAGATATAGCACAGAGTAGGAAACGTCAACCCCACTGCGCATCAAGCCTCCACGCCCCGTCCACATCTCGGACTCACGGCCCACCTGTGTCCACATCGTCGTCTGCTTTCAGTCGCTTCGCCCTAGGAGGCTCCGGGCTCTGAGCCACCGAGCCGCTCACACCACGCCGCCGTCGGGGCCGCCGCCGTCGCCTGCCTGCCGTTTCCACGGCCGTCCCAGTAGACTCGAGCTCCGGCTCCCGTTGCTGCCGATCACGAGCTCGGCTCTGCAGCCGCTCGAGCAGCACTCGTGCCCGGCTGCCCGCCTCTGCCTCAGTGTCCTCAAGCCCGGCAGCCTCCGGGGCCGCATACCGCGCTATGTGGAACAGCGCCATAGTCGCAGCACGCCGTGGTGTGTCTCAGCGCTCTCTGATGACGCAGACAGTGGCGAGCCCAAGGAGGCGCCAATGACATCACGGATGCGACCACACTAGGCGTAGACTTCCTGGGAGGAGCTAGCGGCAGCATGGAGGGCTCCAAGCGGGAGCTAGGTCGCCTGCTGCAGGCGGTGCTGACGAGTCGTGGCCAGGCGAACGCCGTGTTCGACATCCTGGCCGTGCTTCAGGTAAGCTGCGCGGGTGGCAGGGGCGGATCTGGGACAGCAAGTGGGAGTCACGATGGGACTGAGCTTCACCCTCTCGGGCCTCCGCCTTCAGTCCGAGGACCCTGAGGAGATCCAGGAAGGAGTGCGCACGTGCAGCCGACTCTTCGGTACCTTGCTGGAACGGGAAGAGCTGTTCGTGGGCTCGCTGCCATGCGAAGACACGGTCCTGGCAGGTGAGTGACCTGGAGGGCCTGGGGTGTTCTATGCCTGGCGGTCCCGGTGGGACGTCGTGTCAACACAAGAGGAACACCCCAAACCAGGGCCCTGTCACAGATCATGTAGTTTGGTAGGAGGACTCAGACAGTTCACTGTGGCTCAGGAAGTGAGATCACTGTACTTGCTGGGACTTAATGAACTCATACTTAGCTGGTTTTTTCCCTGTGTTTTAATTGTGTCACTTTCAATGTTTGATAGTGACAATGTCACTGTCCTAGTGTTTGCTAGATCTAGATTCTGAGGCAGAGTAAGAAGAACTTCGTTTCAATACGTGCTCCCAGTTTGCAGGGTCAGAAATTGCCATTTCCAGTCTGGGATTTGTAGTACAGGTTTACAGCTGTGAAGATAGACAATGGGAAGGTGGGGCTGCGTTTAGGACTGTGGTCTGGCTTTGTACACATAAACATCAGTGAGAATTAGCTCTCCTAACTGTCCTCAGGATCCCAGGGAGCCATACACAAATACAAGGTGTGGATGAGACACCGCTACCACAGCTGCTGTAACCGCCTGGAGGAGCTCCTGACCCATCCCTCCTTCCAGGTCAAGGTGAGTCTTGACATCGTTGGCCTAACTTCTCCCCTCATCTCTAAAGTACTTCACAGCAGGGATAGGGGCTATTGATGTGAACATCTCTTTCCTCACTTGACTAAAAGAGACTTCTACCTAGACATCTTCATCGTGTTCTTCCACACTGCTGTTTTACTGTGTGGTGTGACTCATCTGGCCCTGAAGACATGAAGTCTGTAACCCTGAGTTCTGGGTACCATATTTGTATATTGTCATGTTTGCCATGGTGTCTCCAAAACTGGGAGACAAGAGCAGTCCTCCCTGCAGGCCCACCTTTTGTGTAGGCCTCAGGCCAACTTCTGTCCCAAGAGCATGTTGCTGCCACCATCATTACATACATATAACATGAACCAAGATAAGCTGGGGGCTGGTCTCCTTTCTCTTCTGCTTCTTGGCCAAAGCCTAAGCCTAGTTCTGAGAGACCATAATGCTAGATGAGGGTTTTGTTTGTTTGGTTTTGGTTTTGGTTTTTTGTGGTAGTGGTGGGGTATCATGGCCACTTTTCTTTGCTTCTCAGGAGCTGGCTCTCAAGACACTCATGAAGTTTGTGCAACTGGAAGGAGCAAAACCCCTAGAGAAGCCCCAGTGGGAAAACCACTACCTCTTCCCCCACACACTCTTCAGGGTGAGGACTTGGTGGGACCTGGAGAACTGTGGTGGCCACAGTCTAAGATGGTCCCACAAGCCAGCTACCTGAATAGATAGCTAGAGGATATTATGCTCCTGTCTTGCCTTGACCTAGGAGGTGAGCAAGACTCAGTGCTTGCTGGTCTTTTAGTGTCTTGTCAGTTGGAGAGGAAATGACAGGCAGCCTGGTGGCTTGTGACACCCTTTCTGGCCATGCTAGGACCACTATGTGGGAGAGCTCCATTCACTCTATCTCTGTTTCCAGGCAGTGGTAGGAGGCCTGCTTATACCCGCAGATGACCACAGCCTGCTTATCTCCCAGTTCTGCGAGTACGTAGAGTATGATGACATCCGGTTCCACACAATGCAGGTGGCCACCAGCACTGTGGCCCGGGCCACCAGCCAGCAACCTGAGGTAAACAGCTGAGTCCCATCACTGTCCTGTGTCTTTGCTCCCCAGAGAGGCAGGTAGGTGGTAGCAGCCCGTCCAGCTGCTCAGGTTAGACTTCCCATAGGTGTCACTTACCTTCTGGAACAATGCCTTCATGCTGCTGTCTGCTGTGAACCTGCCCCTCCAAGAGCGCAGCCTTACCAACTTCTATGTGAAGCATGCACGTGAGTTCTGGGCAAGTTAAGGTCCACTGGAGACTATCTCCTCGTAGTCTGAACAGATGCCAGGTCTGTCAGCCTGGATAGCCACTGTCTTCCCCTCTTGCAAGTTTTGATCTCTCCTTGCTGCAATTACAGAGACATCAGACAAGTGGAAGGTCGTTCACTTAAAGGTGAGATAAGTTCACTGTCTTGGGTACCTTCCTGGGCATAGTCTTCTCTGGGTAGATTACAGGCCATAGCATGTACCCTACAGTATCAAGTGATGCCCCTCTTATGTATCCCTGTGACCAGGTTCAGACCTGAGTCCTTATGATCTCTGTACCTTGTCCCTTCTTGTGCTAAGACATGGCATTACAGATTGCAGTGAAGCTGTCAGGGTGAAAGGCCTACAGTTGACTGCAAAAGGGCCGGGTGGGTAAGTAGGTGGGTGGGTGTGTCAGGATATACATACTGCCTGGTCCCATTGCAGGAACACAGAAAAGCTTTCCAGGAGATGTGGCTTGGCTTCCTCAAGCACAAGGTAGGGTCTAGTGGATGGAATGCCCAGTTTTGATGTGGGGAGTGGGAGCAATGGGAATAACTTTCACAATGGACACAATCTCTGCAGCTGCCCCTGAGCCTCTACAAGAAGGTGTTGGTGGCAATGCATGACTCGATCCTGCCCCACCTGGCTCAACCCACGCTCATGATTGACTTCCTCACTAGTGCCTGTGATGTGGGTGAGTGAGACTTCCATCTAGGCTATTTAGCAAGGGGAACTCAACCATACCCTGCCGCATCTCCTGACTGTGACAGACCTGAGCTAAACTCCATGCCCTTCTTGCTTGTGGCCTTAGGTAATCACCCTGTAGATGGGCACCTGCAACTACAGACATCCCTCCCTTACCTGCTCAGGCACAGGGTCAGCAAATTATAGCCTCATGTCTTCCTGTGTTTTTGCAGGTGGTGCCATCAGCCTCCTGGCCTTGAATGGGCTTTTCATCCTAATCCATAAGCATAACCTGTGAGTGTCAGGAACGTATTTGTCTGCTCTCCAGTTTCTCTCCAAGGGCCTGCATTGTTCACCTTGGGGAGGTTGAGGCAGAAGAGGTGCAAGAGGAGGAGGAGGAGGGAGGATGAAGCCTTGGTTGCCTGGGGTCCTGTCACCTCATGTATCCTCTCTGGTCTCTCCCTCAGGGAATACCCTGATTTCTACCAAAAGCTCTATGGCCTCCTGGATCCATCCATCTTTCATGTCAAGTACCGAGCCCGTTTCTTTCACTTAGCTGACCTCTTCCTTTCCTCCTCGTGAGTGTTGGGGGATATCTAGCTCCATTGTCTGGAAAGGTTATAGTCCTGGTTGGGGAGGAGGTGGAAGAATAGTTGGGGGACTATTTTCTCATATCTGTTGCCCTCCCAGCCACCTCCCCGCCTACCTGGTGGCTGCCTTTGCCAAACGCCTGGCCCGGCTGGCCCTAACAGCACCTCCTGAGGCCCTGCTTATGGTCCTGCCCTTCATCTGCAACTTGCTGCGTAGACACCCTGCCTGCCGAGTTATGGTACACCGCCCACAGGGCCCTGGTGAGCACATGAGTAGCTGGGCATGGTGGCACACCGTGGCAGTAATCCTACCTGGCTCCAGTGGTCCGAAAGACCAGGTGGAAGATGGAACCTTGATCTGTTTATAGAGCTAGATACTGATCCATATGACCCAGTGGAGAAGGACCCAGCCAGGAGCCATGCCTTGGAGAGCTGCTTGTGGGAACTGCAGGTGAGTCACCTGCCTGTCCAGATTCTGGAAGTATTTGAATCTCCACTGACATCTGCAACAGCCCACAGGGATTTTGCCCACACAGGGCACCATGCCAGGGTGTACCAAGGTGCTTAGTCACTGGCAACTCCACACTACCTCAGGGCTTCAAGGTCCATCCCAGGGTCCTGCTGCTGTGTCTTGAGGTCCCTGTTTACTACTCCTAGGCCCTCCAGCAACACTATCACCCTGAGGTGTCCAAAGCTGCCAGTGTCATCAACCAGGTGCTCTCTGTCTCTGAGGTCAGCATTGCGCCACTCCTGGAACTTACTGCATATGAGGTGAGAGTCATGCACAGGGATGCTGGGGTGTGTGCCACGGGTACCGCTGTATTCAGCCCAGGATGAGAGTCTGTCCTTTGCAGATCTTTGAGCAGGACCTGAAGAAGAAGGTACCTGCATCAGTACCCCTGGAGTTCATCCCCACTAAAGGCCTGCTGGGCCGGCAGGGCGACCTGTGCACCCAGTTCTTCAATCTCAGCTGACCTGGCTGTCATCTAAGAATTGTCTTTTTGTGTCTGAGACAAGATCTCACTATGTGAGGCTGGCCTGTAACTTGTGGTGCTCCTGCCAGAGCCTTCCTGGTGCTGAGGTTACAAGGGAGTACCATCATGCCTGATTCAAATAAATGGTTTGTTTTTGGTGTTTTGGTTTGGGTTTTGAGATAGCATTTCTTGTGTAGCCCTGGCTTTCCTGGAACTCACACTGTAGACCAGGCATAGCCTTGAACCCGATCGGATATCTGCCTGCCTCTGCCTCCCGAGTGCTGGGATTATTAAAGGTGTGTGCCACCCTTAATAATTATGTTTTATAATTATGTTTGTTTTTTCGAGATGGGGTTTCTCTATGTAGCCTGGATGTCCTGGAACTTGCTTTGTAGACCAGGCTGGCCTTAAACTCAGAGATCCACCTACCTCTGCCTCTCAAGTGCTGGGATTAAAGGTGCGTACCACCACGCCCTACAAATAAATGTTTGGGTTTTATAGTATTATTATT